AGACTGACACACTGACCACGGACAGGCAGCCAGACTCACAGTATCGGGGTGTCTGACAGGAGCCAGTCCCCATGTGAAAATGCCTCTCCCTCCGTATGAGTCATGAAGGAGCTCTGTGACCCCTGACCCCAGACCTGAAAACCCATCTTGAAGGTCACACAGCACCTGGAACCCCTGAGAAAGAACAACAATATGAGCTGCTCCATACAATAGTGGCTACATATTATATAGGACCAAAACTAAATATCCAGTGATTTAATGGAACATTTAAAATGTTACACAGGAAAATGAAGCACTTAGCTGGGACTGAGAAGCCCCAGGTTCTGAGGTGAGCAGATCGGTCAAGGGGAAGCCATGCAGCGAGTGTCCATGTAAGGACTCCACCTACAGTAAAGCTTGCCAAGACAGCGCCACCCAGTGGTGGGAAGACCGACCTGCAGGTAGTCGCACTCCTCCACAAAGAAGTGCAGACGGTCCTCCAGCTCTTCCAGTACTGTGGCGGACCGGCACAGCGCCTCCCCCTGGCCAAACGCCTCCAAGCGATTCGTCTCCCTGCGCAGACATGTGGGCACCGAGAGAGAGTCTAGCTCAACACACCCAGACCCAGCACACTACGTCACTGAACCGCAGAGATACCTAACCCATTGCGGCTGTAGTTCTGTACTAGTTAAGAGATAGTGACTCACCATGGATGAGTGCTGTTATCAGATTCCTCTATACCTGTACATGAAATGTCATAACTGTAGATAATCTTCAGTGTACTGAGTAATGATTGTGGATGAACTACCTATAATTTGTAAATAACCCATTGTGTTTTCTACTAGTAGTGAAACAGCTAACTTGACATGATTGTTGTAGTCATAATGGTATCAAGGTTGACAAATGACTGTACTATTGTTAGTTGAGAGATTGTTGTGCATTGCTGTGGTGCTGGTAAAATAATTCTCTCATTATGCTTGCACTGGTCTACAGGGCTAGTTTAGAGAGACAGCTAACCCATGGTGGTTTACTGGTATACTAGTTGAGTCAGTTAACCCATTGTGGAGGTACTGGTGTTCACACTGAGATATAACTAGCCAGTTGCTGCTGTGCATGTTTATGTGTTTAGAGATAACTAACCTCTCACAGCTGTGCTGGTTAAGTAGTTTAGCTAGAACTTACCCATCATGGTTGTATTGGTTAATGGGTTAAGAGATAACTAACCTGTTGTGGTTGTACTGGTAAACAGGTATAGAGATAACTAACTTGTTGTGGTTGTACTGGTGGATGGGTTCACAGATAACAAAGCCCATCATGGTTGTACTGGTTAATGGGTTCAGAGATAACTAACCCGTCGTGGTTGTACTCGTTGATGACCATCATGCTGCGGGGGTGCAGGTGGACCCTCAGGAAGTCAGACCACACCCTCACGCTGCCCTCCAGGCTGTACCGCTTCTGAGCGCGCTCCAGACTGGCGTTCACCGTCGCCATGGCAATGCCGCCTGCCGAGAGAGCTTCCGGGCGACATCAGGAGAGTCCGTCAGACACACAGCACAGCTCCTCCCCCAGCCAGCTCCAGCCCTTTCTTTTTATGACATCTTAGATAAAGTCATTTTCCAAAACCAACCGGTTTCTAATATTCAGACTGTGCACATCAGATGTTTTGGGTCATTTACAAAAGTGCGCAGTCACGTTAAGGGCCTGGAGGCAGGTTTGCTGGAAACACTAAGAGCTCAGTGGTGTGAGCAGGGACCCCACAGAAACACAAGACTCTCTCACCCTTGCTTTCCTGTGCCTGGGTAGCAGAGAAGTCTCCCTCGGGCAGCAGCTGCCCCTCCTGGAGAGAAAAGGAATTACAGGAGTCAGGACAGGCCGCAAGGACTGGGGAGTCCTTGTTATGGGCCAGGAGGGGTGAGGGACACTCACATCCAAACGGTCAAGGTCCTGGAGGAAGGAGTTCTTCGCTGGGGGGGACTCCCTGTGGGTCATCACCTCTCCCTCCCTGAAGAACACAGACAGGGTTACAAATAAGACACAAGTCACCCACAACACACACACACTGCCAGTAACACACACA